GATTTGACTTTCCCCTGGAAAGAGTGGGCTGAGAGCCTCGTGGGTGACTGAGCACATGTGGCTGGGGGTGGTGCTTGAGGCCCTGGAGGAGAGACCAGGGCAGGCATGTGCAGGTGCCCCCCAGGGAGTGGTAAGGTCACGCCATTGGGTGGGCAATGGGTGGGGCAGGCTGAACAGATGGGTCTGTTCCTCCCTCCTGTGGTTATGGCAGCGGCCACCCTGCTGCCCACAGGCCACCTCAGGGCCTTTAGGACAGTCTCAAACGTCCTGTGGGAACTGAAACCCAGTGTCTGTGGAACCTGATATGCCGTCCGTCATTTCCTCCTGCCCCCAGCACTGGCATTTTCGTTGAGCAAGTTGGACTGCATTTTTGAGGAAGGCATGATGGCTGTTTGTACTGGGTGGCAGAAGTGGGAATTCTGTAGAGGGAGCGTCACACCTGCTCTGGGGAACTGTGCTTTCCTGAGCTCCGGCTCTGCAAGGTGACTGCTGAGTCTGTGTGGCTCCGTGTCTAGCTCCATCACAGAGAAGGCACTCAGTGCTCTCCATGGGCTCAGGAACAGCTCAGGGATGGGAGGGGACACAGGGCCAGTGCCTCCTGGGAGGTGGGAGGGGAGACAGGGCCCAGTGCATCCTGGGAGTCAGGGGAGAGGACACAGGGCCAGGTGCAGCCTGGGAGACAGGGCCGCTTGGAACCATGGTCTGGCATCCCCTGCTGAGGCCGACTTCTCTCGTCTGTGGAGGAGCTGGCGTTTCCATGCTGCCCTCCCGTCCTGAGTGTTTCTCTGGCTCTGCCCTTGGTGTGCTCCCTGACCCTGCCCATGTTCACCACCGGTTTAAAATAGGAAGGCCAAACAGGGCGTGGTGGTTTGCAGCAGATATGCCTGTAGGAGTCCACGTAACCCTGCTCATGCCTAAATGGATGAGCTTGCTTTTAAAATTTGTAAACTTACTGGCTGTCATCAATGCAACTGTGATTTCTTAATGGGCAGTTTATTTCTGCGATTTCAACGAGCAGCTGAACCCCTCTGACCGCGGGAGTTGTGCAGTCTGCAAAGCCTGCAGTGGGACAGGGCCCTCTGAGGGTTAAGTTGCTTCTCTACCTGGAGGCTGCTTTTTCCTTAGGCAGTTGGCCTTAAACAAATGACATGCTGTCAAAGAGAAGGGTATTTAAATTACATGGCTGGACTCCGGGTTGCCAAAAGGAAGCCCTCTGGGGTAGGTTATATATTTGACATGCATTTGCAGTGTGTAATTGGAACCATGAGAAAGGTTTTTGTTTGAATCTATTGAACGGTTTCCTTATTTTAAAAACCTGTTGAATCTGGAATGAGTTGTTAGTGGATGAAGTCTTCTTTCTGATAATGGTTCATGTAAAAGTTTAGGGCAAAGAGGTGTTTCTGCTGCAGTACTGCCTAGATATGCCCCCACCCCACCCCCACCTGCTACCCTGAAGCTCTGTGGTTGGCCAGGGGCCTGAGCACTGGGCTAGTGTGTTCCTTGTCCACTGGGTCGCTGGGTGTCAGAGCTGAGAGCCTGGGGCTTCTGTACACAGCAAGGGCCCTGCTGGGGCGGAGCAGCCCAGCCCGACCCATCCCTTCACCCTCAGGGTGCCACCCTTGCTGCCTGGGGCTGAGTCAGAGCCAGGCTGGTCGTCCACTTTCCTTGTTAAAGAAAAACTGTCTCACTCTCTCGTTTACCTTTCTGTGGGGCAGCATCCCTGCCCTCTCACTGCTGGCCTCTGTCGGGAGCTGCTTCATTTCCTGAGTGTCAGCCCCTGGCGTTTGCTGAGGCGCTGCGGGTGCCGGAGAGGTCTCGGCTCACAGGACACAGCTGCCTGTGCTGTGGACTCGGGTGGAACGGGACCGAGTGGGCCCTTCTGGGCAGTTGGCAGGCAGTGCTGGCAGTGGCTGCAATGCAGGCAGAGTCTAGGCTCTGCCTCTCTGATGTAGCCTTCTGGAAGGACATAGGAAGGTGTAGCCTAGCAGCTTCATGATGTCGGAGGGTTGGCAGCTGCCCCACGACATGGTCAGCTGTGACCGTCAAGGTGGGTGGGCCCCCACAGAGGTAGCCTCTCGTGAACTGGCCTTTCCCCTATCAGACTGTGAGGAAGGTCGAAGTAAGCTAAAGCAGACACCCATGAGTGGATGCAAATCAGTCACTCGTGTCTTTTCCTCATGACCAGTATATCTCACCAGCCAGTTAGAAAACCCCGGGCAGCCTCTGGGCTGTGGCAGGGTGGTTCCCTGGTGCCCTGCGGCCTGGGGAGGCTGCTGTCCCCATGTGTTGGCTTCTCCTGGGTGGCACTAGGCAGACCGCAGCTGTCGAGTCCAGTGCAAGGAAGTCGAGTTGAGAGTACCGAGTGCTGTCACTCAAGGTTGTCGGCCTGGAAATTGGTTTTGTCCACTGGATGGATAAATTGGGACTCAGCAGTCAGCGTGCAGCTTCCCTGAGGCCATAGAATTGCCGGCCGGTCTTCCCCAGAGCTGTCTGGGCGGCCGCTGCGCGGCGTGCAGATGCTGCATTTGCAGGACACTGCCCTCCCGGGGGTGCCACAGCCTATTAGTTGTGACAGCTTTTGGCACGCGAGTGACTCCCTGTCAGCACAGAAAGTGTGTGTGGACAGAGCTAGCAGATGGGAGTAATTCCAGATGAGCTAGAATTTTTCCTGGTAAAACAGCTGAGGACTTTTAAACGTTACAAGGGTTGCTTCAAGTTGAGGTAATCGCTTTAAAATCACCTATTAGATTCAGTTGCTCTGTCTACGGCAGCTGTGGTAGTGCCTGCCTGTTTGGTTTACACCTGCTCCAGGAGCCTTTCCGAGAGCTTCATTTTTCAGATATTTGGTGTGTGGGTTGCTGATTGATGGAGGCCTCCTGCTGGGGCCGTCTGCTGGGGCTGCTGCTCCTACCCACAGGTGGGCGGTGGAAGACTCTGGACAGGCTTAGAGGTGGGAGTGTTCTGTGCAGGGTGTGTTCAAGGGGACACCGGAGCTGGAGGCTGTGGACTCCAGGGTGCCCTTGGCAGTGGTCTGCACTGCCCAGAGCGAGCTGTGGGGCAGTGTGGTGAGAGCAGGAGGTCTCACGCAGGGCTAGGCGGGCTTTGGGATAGGCACTGTCGTCTGACTGCATGTGGAGTGGAAGGAGGAGCTGGCCCTGGGGTGGCGCCGAGCCTTGAACTGTGCCTGAGAGGGTGATATAGCCACACTGGCCAGAGCAGCGCCCAGGGAGACGGGCTCTGCTGCCGTGGTGTGGGACTTGGGGGACCTGGTGTGGGATGCTGCTGTGGCTTGAGGAAATGAGACTTGTGGGGGTGCCCTGCCTGGGGTCCTCAGCAGAGTGAGGAGCGGGGGCCAGGACCAGGTGGGCGGCCTCAGCCCTCGGTGGCCCAGCAGCCAACCTTGGAGAAGACCTGTGTCTGGGGCTACACTCCTGGGTGATATGGGTAGAGCTGACATCACGGTATCTTTGAGCTTTTGGTTTTGAAATAAGTTCATTTTGGCTGGTGCCTCGGCTCAATAGCCTAATTCTCGGCCTGCGGCGCCGGCACCCCAGGTTCTAGCCCCGGTCGGGGCGCCGGATTCTGTCCCAGTCGCTCCTCTTCCAGTCCAGCTCTCTGCTGTGGCCCGGGAGTGCAGTGGAGGATGGCCCAAGTCCTTGGGCCCTGCACCCGCATGGGAGACCAGGAGAAGCACCTGGCTTCTGGCTTCGGATCAGCGTGGTGCGCCGGCTGCAGCGCGCCAGCTGCAGCAGCCATTGGGGGGTGAACCAACGGAAAAGGAAGACCTTTCTCTCTGTCTCTCCCTTTCACTGTCCACTTTGCCTGTCAAAAAAAAAAAAAAAAAAAGTTCATTTTATGTAGTTTTAAGTCAATTTATAAATATTTTACAGTCTTATTACAAAGAATCACCATATATATAAAATAAACTGTAGAATCTTGCCCATTTTTTGGTTGCTATTTATATGGAATAAAAAAAAGTCCCTGGAAGCAAAAGGCACAGGGAAATTTGTATGTCACACACACAGTCCTACCACTGCTTCTGGAGGATTTTGTTTCCAGACTGTTTTCGGTGTGTTTTCTGGGAGGCAGTTGATTGGTGGCAGAGTTTGCCATCGTGTGTGGACAGCGTCCCCGCACCAGGGCTGTCTTTGCTCAGACTCCTTGCAAGCGCTGTGTGGCTGGCAGGTGGAGCACACAGGCGCTGTGCAGCCTAGGGCTTCCCGGCCTCTCTCTGGATCACATCCTTCCACCACTGGCTCCCTAGAGCCACTCGCTAATTTCTTTGTTCAGGGTTGGTCTCTCAGCCGGTGGTCTTCGTAGACCGTCACACCAGTGCGCGTCTGTTGTGAGTGCCTGTCCCAGTGAGGGCAGTGACCGCGTTCCAGGTTCACTGTGGAAACTTCATGGTAGGGACGTGTGGCGTGGACACTGCAGGAATGCAAGGGCACTTCCCTCATGGCCTCCCCTGGCGCCTGTGGCCACCTCTGCCGCCCTTTCCACTGTCCACCCTGCAGTGACGCTGTTAAAAGTAGGCCCGGGCTGCTTGATGCTGGGCAGCCAGCTCACCAGGGACAGGAGTTGTGGAGGGAGACAGGATTGTGACGAGGCCAGCAGTCTTGGGGGGAAAAGCGATGCCTTCAGTCTCAAAAGTGCTTTTTCCAGTTTTCAAGTTAGCAGGAGGGCTTTTGAAGGAGCACAAAGCAGAGGTAAATGGGGAGCCAGGAGCGAGGGAACGAAGGACCGGGCTGGCTGCGTGTTGGCTGTGGCAGGCGTCGCACGGCGGGCTGGCGCTGCAGTGGTTTCATTCTGCATCTCTGTCTCTCGGTCTCTCTGACTTTCAAATAAAATGAAAACCTTTTCCACCTTGATCGTTGTTGGCCGCGGCTCGTAAGGGCTGCTGTGATCCCACTTACGGCACAGCCCACTGTCTGTGGTGCCCCTTGGTGGCCCGGTAGTGTTGCCTCGCGGACAGCCCCTCACAGTCTTTGTCTTCTGCTCAGTTGTCGACGTGATCCTGAAGGCGCTGACCTATGATGAGAAGCGGGGTGCCTGCAGCGTGGGTGCCAACGTCAGGGACGCTGCCTGCTACGTGTGCTGGGCCTTCGCCCGTGCCTACGAGCCCCAGGAACTGAAGCCCTTTGTGAGCGCCATTTCCAGGTGAGCCTGTCCCCTCCGTGGTCTCCGGGGAGTGCACACTGCTGGGTGCTTGGCGTGGTTCTAGGACGTGCTTGGGAGCAGAGCCCTTGTGGCCTTGGCTGCTGCTGGGAGCAGGTTCTCAGGAAAGCAACGGGGCAGAGTGGGAGAAACACAGGAACCAGTGAGTCGATTGGACGTGTGTGCTCCCCCGCCTCTGGACCCCGCCACTCAGCTGTTCTGGTCTCCCTCTCCTGGCCGGGATTCAGGGTTCCTGTCCTGCTGAGCCTGTGAGGTGGTGACTATCAGAGCGGCTGTGTTTTGCTTGTGGAAAATGCACAGCACTTGTGTTCCCAGTACAGTGAATGCTAAGTTAATTCTCAGTTTTCTACACTGATTTAATACTCTGTGCTTGGACCCAAGTGTTCCTTTACATTTCAAGTCAGCTGCTCCATTTCTTTCTTTTTCTTAAGGAGCCAGAGGAGGGAGACTGAGGGAGGTGACTCAGCATTCCTGTTGGCTAAGGCTGTATGAGCCCACAGCTGATTCATCACCCATTTCAAGCAGCCCTTTACCCGACAACTTTTACTAGGAAAGTGAACTAGGAAATAGATTTTGCAATTAGGCTCGAGTCCTAGCAGCCACCTCCCACATCTCCGTAGAGGCCACCCCAAGTTCTTTCCTGGATGCCTAAAGAGACCGTGAAACCACCTCGTGAAAACCAGACTCCTGGTTCTGGACACGCAGGCCTCCATGGGCCCAGGCCCCGTCTGGCTGCAGGCGCATCTGGTGGCAGGCTTGGCTCAGCCGTGGGCTGTGAGCACAGCTTGCCTGGTGGCTGAGGCTCAATGTTTTGTGACGGGCACTTTATTCTGTCCTCGCCAGTGTTTCGTCTCAGCAAATACTCACCAGGGGCAGGAGAGGGATCTGAGGCCTGTTTCCTTTCCTGGAAGTGCAGCACTTGGGGCCTGTATCTTGTGATCTAGATTCCTGCACCAGAGCAAAGTCTACAGACGAGTGTGAGGATCCTGCTCCTGTTCAGGGAGATAAGGTGTCAGGAAGTCATAAACAAGTCTGTCTGCTCCTATCTCGTCCACCCTGTAGGGAACAGCACAGCCAGAGGGCACTGGTGCTGGCTGATGGTTGTAGAGAATGGTTCACCAAGGCCTCGGCAGCCTGGAGCAGGTGTGAGCTGCTCTGTGCTGCACAGGGGCTTGGCTGCAGGTGGTCTTCAGTGGGTGGTGCAGGGGAGGGAAGAAGAAATGACTGTGGGGCTTCGAGGCCCTGCTGAGCCCCCCCCATCCCCCCCCCAAGCCTAGGCAGGCGCCCACCTGCCACTCCGGTGCTCAGCAGGCACCAGCCCTTGGGGAGATTCTTCCTCTGCTTTCTCATCCGCTTTTCAACTTTCTAGAGGTCATTCTGTAACTTTGAAGCAAAGCAAGAAAATGTTCCTTTTTTTTTTTTTTTAATTTATTTATTTGAAAGTCACAGAGAGAGTAAGAGAGGCAGACAGAGAGAGAGAGAGAGGTCTTCCATCCACTGGTTCACTCCCCAGTTGGCTGCAACAGCTGGAGCTGGGCCGATCTGAAGCCAAGAGCCAGGAGCTTTCTCCAGGTCTCCCATGCAGGTGCAGGGGCCCAAGCCTTTGGGCCATCTTCCACTGCTTTCCCGGGCCATAGCAGAGAGCTGGATTGGAAGTAGAACAGCCAGGACTTAAACCAGCTCCCATATGGGATGCCTGCACTGCAGGTGGTGGCTTTACCTGCTACGCCACAGCGCCGGTCCCCAGTTTTTCTTGATGTTTACAGCAACTGTCACAGAACAACAAATTCCTTAGATTGATGATGCCTCCGCAGTAGCGCTGTGAGGTGGGTGGATGTTGTGAGCACCTTGTTTCCCTGAGGATGAAGTGGGAACAACGCACTGAGGGAACCTGCCCTAGTCTTGTGGCCAACAGGTGCCAAGCTGATCTTGGTGGTGGGCACCCAGGTCCCAACAACCCCTGGCTCATCTGAATGTGCCTCCCAAGTCGGGGGTTCCTTTTCGATGTGGGAAATTCTGGAGTTGTGTCTCTTTCCCCCGGGACTCTCTGGTCCGGCAACACAGGAGGAGCAGGGCCTGGGGCTAAGGAGATGGCATGGGCAAGGCAGAGGCTCAGCAGAGGCTCAGCAGGGAGTGTGCACAGCTCTCCCCAGACCCGGTGTCCCAGCTTGTCTCTGTGAGGGCTGCCGATCCACGCAAGGTGCGTGAGCAAAGCATCCGGCTTGAGTGCTGAGTGTGCAGAGAAGAGTGCAGGGGTGACTCCAGAGGTGAAGGCCTTGACCTGGACAGAGCCAGAGAGAAAAGTGTCACCCGTGGTGCCGGGCACACAGATGACTTCTGCTGTCCGTAGCTGTGGAGCTTGCTGTCACCGTGGCGATGATTCTGTGAAGTCAGAGGTCGGTGTGTGGAAACGCTGACTGCCGGGGAACCTGAGCACGACTGGGCACGGGTATCTGCTGACTGGTCTGCTTGGCGGTCCCAGGCCTGGGGTCTGAGGCCTGCTGGCTGCAGGCCCCTTCTTCCCGTGTGCGTCATGGCACTGAGTGGAGTGGAGTACCTGGGTGCTGAGGGAACACTGGCCCCTGTTACTGCTTTGTTTCTTGGAAGAGGAGAGGCAGATCTGGAGTCCATGGCTAGTCCCTCGTGGTTGGCCAGGGCAGAGTTCTGGCTGGGCCACGGTGTGCCCAGATGCCACTGCTGCACAGGGAGGAGCCACGCCTGTGCTGGGGGAGTCCCGTGGAGGGTTGGGGGTCCTTTGGGGACCCTGTGGGAGGAGTGGCCTGGAATGGGAGGGGCTATGGACATGACCTTCACTGGAGCTGTGAGCTGGGCCTGTGTGACCAGCAGGACAGCATGGCTGCTCAGCCTTCAGGGGCAGCTTCGGCCGGAGTCTGTGGAGGTTCCTGTGGTTCCCAGGCGCCTTTGATCTCTGTGCAGGTTCAGTTTCTTGGACTTCCTGGGTGTGTCCGGTGCTGCTAGCCAGCTACCTCTGGGCCTCGCCACGACCCTGAAGCTGCCATGGGGTGGGGTTGGGGGCTGTTTGTGCTACTTCACCCAGAGTTAAGCCATGTTCACAGGCCCCTTTCCCCGCACCCACCTTGCACTGGAGCACAGGTGCCCTTTGGTGCCCCGCCCGCCTGCACTTTCGGGCCAGTCTGACAGGTTCTGGGGGAACCCGTGTTCCAGCCTCTCCCGGCCCCTCCAGACTCCAGGCATCCGGCAGGTGAGTCAGGGAGCAGCAGGTAAGCTGGGTGCACCTCCCTGCCCAGGAGCCCGAGCCCGAGTATCGGCTGGGTGTGTCCTCCTGGATGTGCCTCCCTGCGTTTGTTGGAAGTGACCACATTGTAATTATCAGCCTTTCAGCCCAGTAATTCTGGCCATGATAAAATCTTGATATCTTTAACTGCTTTCACAGACTCTCTGTGAATCCTGCAGAAGTGGACGGTTGAGGTCGGACGTGATTCTCTCGGTGGGGTGGAGGTGAGAGTGCCAGGCGCCCTTGTTTCTGAGGGAGTCCGTTCTGGGGCTGTGGCTCGCGTTTCCTAACTGTTGCCTGGCCTTTTGTTTAGGAAACGGAGACTGATTGTACTGTCTCACTGTCCCTCTGTCTTACAAGTGTCAAAGAGGAACTGTTGGCAAATTTTCTCAAGTTTGGAGGTAGCACTGGCTGCTGTCTGAAGGCCCGTGTTTCCTCGGCATTGTGCTCAGGTGGCTCAGGAGATGGAGGATGCTGTGTGGGACGTGGGGGGGGTCCTGAAGAGCCCAGCACACTGAGAAGTGGCGGAGCTTGAGGTTCACATGGGGCACGGCAGCGCCCTGGTCATCAGGGCTCGTTTGCAGGAAGCAAGAGAAGACGCACTGCACTGCCGCCAGTGTGCCTCGGCTGTCACCTGGCGATTTCCTCACCTGAAACTCTTTTGTAAGCCGGCTCCTGTTGACATCAGCCGAGGCTGCCTGCAGGGCCCCCTCCCGTGCCAGGGGCAGCATCTGACTCTCAGCCTCAAACCATGAGCGAAGCTGGCAGCGTGGGCCGCGGCCTGCGCCGGGCTCAGCAGTATCTCTTCCTCCAGGGCAAGGCTGGCCTGAAAAACCAGGAAGCAGCCGACCTCGCTCACAGCCGCCGCGAGGACAGCTTGCAGCGGGAGGGAGCTGTTGTGTTGTCCACGAGAAGTCAGGTGGGCACCACCGACCAGTGGCCCAGCCCTGGGAGGCCTGGCCAGCCTCTGCCTCCATGTCTTAGGTGTGGTTTATGTGAGCGTTGGTCCTCATGGCTTAAAAAATGTTACCATAGGCAGAACTTACATTTCACTTGAAGAAAGGTGTGGTTTGCAATTTTCAGAAAACTTGGACAATAAGTTACTGGTTTGATATTTAGAAAAATTTTGACTTCAACATGGTAGGATTATAGTTATTTAAGGTAAAAACTGTGCATAGTGCTTTTTGTTGGTATCAAATGTCATACAAATATGAAAACTTGGGTTGGGGTGAGCTCTGCGCCTTGGTATCCCTGCCAGAAGTGGGTCCCTGGGGCTCAGAGCAGGTTGAGGCCTGCAGCTTCCTCTCCACTTGAAGGAGAAGAAAAGCCCTTTCTGCCTGACACCCCTTCTGTGTTGGGAAACCCTAGTGAAGTATCACATAAAGGTCTCAGCGAAAGCAGACAGGTGAGGACACCCACGGCACGCTCCCGCTCAGACAGGCCAGCGTGCGCTGCTGAGACGCGAGCCGAGAGCCGTGACTCACAGCGGCGTCATCCTGGAAGGGGCCCTGGGAGAGGAGCTCCGAGGGAGCTTTCGTATTTATACTTAACCGACTTCACTAGCCCTGTCGTGCATGAAACCTGCTAGTATTTCTAGATGAGCCAGTTTCGTTCTCAGAGAGTGAAGTCAGAGGTACTTTTAGAAACCCGCTGCTCTCACAGGCAGTGCACGGTTGGTTTGGCGAGGTAACTCACGGGAGGCCGTGCTTCTCCAACACCTGCTAGCTCTGCCCCACCATGTGTGAGCAGTGTGGTGAGAGGTGGCAGCCGGCGGCCTGCTCTAGGTGCTGCGGCCTGCACAGGACGCTGCTCTGTGGTGTCTGCATCACCCGCTCGGTCTGTGTGGAGCCACTGGTCACATGGGTAGTGTGCATCCTAACAGGCCGATGGGAACAGCCCCACGTCTGTCCACGTGGAGGTCAATGACTGATGACCCTTCTTGGAAATGGGGCTCAGTCTGGGATCAGCCCACGGCCTTTTTCAGAGCTGTTGTTCTGTGGCCAGTGAACAGAAGAGCTGAAGTGAGTGGGCCAGTCCTGGCTCCAAGCACGGGGAGAGGCCTGAAGGCAGTACCTTGTCACCCTCCCACTGCCAGAGAAGCTGCCTGGCCCCCAGCACTGTGGTTCTGGGGAGGGGCTGGGAGGAGGGAAAACACCCATAGATAGCAGCCCTGGAAGCCTGCTCGGACTCTTACGGGGCTTGGCCCCCCCTGCATCAGGGCCCAGGCAAAGCTGCTTGGGATGGTTCCTGTTGGCAGCTAACCCTACCTGTGCAGAGCCAGTCCTTGGCGAAGGATCGGATTTCCTGTCATTCACTCTAGGCCCACTGGACAGCAAATGACCAGGCAGACCCACGTTGTGTGAAGGCAGCAAGACTGAACATTATTTTCCTTAGTGGCTGTGTCAGAATAAGATAAGTCATGGAAGCTTGGTTGAGACTGAACCCTTGGTTGGCTTTGCCCCAGGAATGAGTGTCCTCAGCGGGTGGAGGTGGTGTAGGATGTCCACAGGGTGTCCTGGGAGCAGAGTGGGGGCCAGGTGTCCACAGGGCACAGGGCAGGAGACAGAGGGCATCCTTTTCTGACTGCTTCAGAGTGTTCATGTCATGCACGGAGATGATTTTTAGTTTCTTTTCTGTATTTGCTCCATTCTTTGCTCGTTAGTTGATGTTTCATCATTTATTTACTTTTAATGATTTATTCATGTGTAAGGCAGAGTGATGAGAGAGAGAGATCGATCGTGTGTCTGCTGGTTCACTCCCCAGATGGCTGCAACAGTGAAGTCTGGGCCAGGCTGAAACCAGGAGCCAGAGGCTTCATCTGGTCTCCCATGTGGGCTGCTGAAGCCCCACGTTTGGGACTGATGTTAGAGGAAAGTAGAGGTTCCTGGCCCAGGTCTTTCCCTAGAACACACGGCTTTCATTAGTATGTAATGCAATACCTAAATTTCCATTAATTCTGACAATGTATTTAAAATAAAATTATCAAGAGATTGTTTTCTTTTAAAAATTTTTGTTTGCGAGATAGAGAGACAGAGATCTCCCATCAACAGGAAACTGGCATTGGTAAAGATCCCGGACTCAAATCCCGGACTGAGGTGTGGGCAACCAACTGCCCTGCACCAAATGCCCACCCGCAAGTATTAAGAACAGTAGTTAGGGTCAGTGCTGTGGCGTAGTGGGTAAAGCCACTGCCCGTGACACCAGCATCCACTGATTGCTCCATGTTTGATCCAGCTTTCTGCTAATGTGACTGGGAAAGCAGCGGAGGATGGCCCAAATCCCTGGGCCCCTGCACCCATGTGGGAGAACCAGAAGAAGCTCCTCGCTCCTGGCTTTGGCCTGGCCCAGCACTGCCTGTTGGAATCATTTGGGGAGTGAACCAACAGATGGAAGATCTCTCTTTCTGTCTCTCCCTCTCTGTAATTCTGACTTTCAAATAAATAAATAAATCTTTAAAAAAACAACAGTAGTTGTATAACTTCTAGTTATTAAATACATGTCTTCATCAGTTTTGTAATTTCCAAGATTTCGTTAACAAAAGCCATTATGATGCATTGGGACAGTCAGTCTTGAAATGTACCCGCTGTGGTAAGGTGAATGACCTTTAGCTTTTGTTTATTTTTTTTCTCATTCTGGTTACAGTTTGTTGTATAATAATGAGTTGAGAGAGAAGGGAATAATTTTCTGTTAATTGAGTTATCTAAATTACTTTGAGTTTCACTTGGCATAAGAAGTTAACATAAAGTGTCGTAGATATTAGCACTGTCTTTTCTTTTTTTAAGATTTATTTATTTGTTTGAGAAAGAAAGATCTTCCAAAACCAGGTGCTTCATCTAGGTCTCCCACATAGATGGCAGGGGGCCTAAACACTTGGGCCATCTTCTGCTGCTTTTCTCAGACTGTTACTAGGGAGCTGGATCGGAAGTGGAGCAGCTGGGACATGAACTGGCATCTGTATGGGATACCAGCATTGCAGGTGGTGGCTTTACCCGCTGCGCCTCAATGTCAGCCATACTAGCACTTTCTTTTTTTCTTTAAGATTTATGTATTTGTTTGAAAGTCAGAGATCTAGAGCAAGAGAGAGAGAGAGAGAGAGAGAGTGAGTGAGTGAGTCTATCTGCTTTTTTCACTCAACTGGCTGCAGCGGCCCAGGACTGGACCAGGCCAAAGGCAAGAGCCAGGCGTTTCCTCCGGGACTCCCACATGGGTGCCGGGGCCCAGGAACTTCAGCCGTCATCTGCTGCTTTTCTAGGTACATCAGCAGGGAGCTGGATTGGAAGTAGAGCTTCCAGGACTCAAACCCGTGCCTATATGGGATGCCGGCATTGCAGACGGTGGCTTAACTCACCACACCACAGCACTGGCTCCTCTACACTGTATCTTTTAAGATCATCAGATAATTAGTTTCTTTTCAAAATCCTTTTAGTTTTGAACAAGGTTAAGGTGTAAAGAATTGTAAAAACAGCACAGCTTTCCTAATCCCTTCCTTGGTGCCTCAGTGACCACCGTAGGTGTCCAGGCCAAGGGGCTACCTACCCCTGATACAAGTGTGCCAGCTCCCCAGTGCTGCCTGCTGTCCTGTCCAGTTCTGTTCCAGGATCTAGGGGACCACAAATCTCGGTTTCCGCTCCTCTGACAGCGCCTCTGTCCTTATGTCATGATCCAGGGCAGTTTCACTGAGCACGTGTCCCCTTGTGCTTACGGTGGTTTTCCGGCTGTGCATCCATTGTGTTGTCTCATCGCAGAAAGTTTTCGTCACCCCTGGGATGCTCCCCACAGTGTGTGGGAAGAGTGCTGGTCAGATTCCCTCCCTTGGGGTGTGGCGTTTCCTCTGGTGTGGACTGTGTGGCTGTGCGTCCAGGGTGACAGCATCGCAGCGCTGTAGAGTGCTCAGCCTCCCCCGACTGCCTGGTTGGGGTCTGCCCATGTCTCCACGTGAAGTACAGTTTTCCCTTTGTAAGTAATGAGAGTTCAAGATTGTGTAGGTCCCCCGTTGCCTCTCGTCTGCGCATCACAGGGCTGTGCCTGTGGCAGCCACAGGGGTCTCTTGTCCCTCCTTCCTCTCCCCTTCACTGACTGCAACTCTTTGTCAAGGAAACCTGCTCGCTGGTGGAGTGTGGACGCCCCCTGCATCCTTGGGCTGTCTGTAGAAGCTGTGCTGTATTTTGTCTCGGGTTGTTCCAGCTTTAGCTGCCTTAGGGTGGACTCCATGTGCTGTCACCACGACCTGTTCTTTGTCCTTTTGTGTGTTTGGAGTACTGGAAGTCACAGTCGTGGCTGTGAGTGTGACTGTGGCTGGCTTCCGGTGTCTCTTCAGCATCCCTAGGTGAAGCCTGATGCCGTTGTCTGGGCAGGTGCTGGTGCAGGATGCATTGTGTCCAGTGCAGAAAGGACGTCCACTGAACAACGCCCCCACTGCTCAGCGTGCTCCCAAAGCCTGGTGTCTTTCTCCCACGCTGGTTTGCTGCCACTTTTCCTCTAGGCCACTGCTCTCTCTGCCTTTCCTGGGATCCATCCCCCTTCTCTGCCTCCCCCAAGCAGAGCAAGCATGTTCTCTCTCCTGTGACTCTAGGGTGTGCCTCTCTGAGGTTCTTGTTAGAACTGTGGCCAGCTACCCTCAGCTCCCTTATGCCTGCCATGTTGGGGGTGGCATGTGTCTGCCTGGAGCCCCCAGGAGCCTTGGGCTGCGTCACCTGCAGGTTGGACTCCGTGGGCTGGGTGGGTGGGTGAGTTGTGAACCAGAAATCTCGTCAGTCTTGTTGCTTTGCAGATTTCCTTTTCACTCATCATTCCCTCTTTTCCACAGCGCCCTGGTCATCGCCGCAGTGTTTGACCGAAACATAAACTGCAGAAGAGCTGCCTCCGTAAGTCTCCCCTTCCTAGGGTCCCTTTCCCGAGGTGGGGCCGCCCCTGACTGTGCCTGCTGCCTCGGTCTCTCTGAGGTGTCCCCTGCAGCTCCCTGTGCACACTGCGGCAGACCCAGCTCTTATCTACCCTGGGCTCCCTGGGAAGGCCAGAGTGAGGTACCCCCCACCCCAGGGGTCCTGAGCTGCCGCTGTCGTGGGTGGGTCGTATCTGTGAGCGTGCTCTGCTCTGTTCTGAAGCAGGGGGAATAGAGCTTTGTGAGCTTGACCAGTTGTGACAGCAGTGCAGGCCCTTAGAGGCAGCCCTAGGAGGAGCTGTCGCCAAGCAGTGGTCAGCTGTGTGTTCCCGGCCACACTCCGCCTGGGCCTCCCTGGATGTGAGATTTCTTAGGCTTTGAACGCAGATACTGGTCCCCACCAGGGTGAGCCAGTGATATCCGGACACAGCAAGCTCTGTGGTCGCCTCCCATTCAGCAGACCCAATTGCTGATTCCAGCATAGATCTGGCTGCCTCCTGCAGGCTCTTGGGGAGGTCCTGTGGAGGCTCTGGGGGCTCCTGAGGGGCCCTGGGGAGCCCTGGGGGCACCCTGGGGAGGCTGGAGCAGCTCCATGAGATCTGGCTTCTTCCTGCTTGGCTGCCACTGGTTCATAACTTAGATCAAAGTTTAAGATTTATCTGTTTATTTGACAGGCAGAGAGAGAGAGAGAGAGAGAGAGAGAGAGAGAGAATCTTCCATCTGCTGGTTGTCTTCCCAAATGGCCGCAATGGCTTGGGCTAGGTCAAGCCGTTGCCAGGAGCTTGGAACTCTATCAGGGTCTCCCATGTGGATGGCAGGAGCCAAAGCACATGGGCCATCTTCCACTGCTTTCCCAGGAAACTGGATTGGAAGTAGAGCAGCTGGGACTCGAATTAGCACCCATGTGGGATGCTGTCCTTGTAGGCGGTGGCCTAAGCTGCTGTCCTACAACACTGGCCTCTGGAGCTGGGAATTGAACCCAGGCTCTCTGGTATGGAATATGGGCCTCTCGACCATGAGGCTCAATGGCTGCCCCATGGTACCATTTTGAAAGAGTACTTTGGAGAAAGCATCCTTAAGGCCAGTATGGAGTCGTCTGGGCCTTGCTTCTGCTCAGCCCTTAGACGTGGAATGTGAGGGAGAACAGCCATCTGGGCAGTGTGCCCGTGGGGCAGCTGTGGTGTGGGAGTGGCACTTCCTGTGCGTCCCCACACAGCAGCTCGGGCTGGTGATGTTCATTCCTCTTCCATATGGAAGAAGCATCTGGGAGTGGTCCAGAGCCTGTGGGGCAGCTCTGTGGTCACGGTTTCTGTCCTTCTGCTCCTGTCTCAGGCTGTGGCTTCTCTTCTTAAGGCCAGCCTTGGTCACGGTCAGGAAAGGAGAAGGCAGAAGAGCTGCCCTGGGCTGACCACCCCTCTTCACAGGCTGTCCAGGGCCCCCAGCAGTATGTCTCCCACCGACCCACACACACCGTGCCCCTCTGCTGGTGTCCCCGTGCTGTGCCACATGGGTGCCCGCCCCGAGGCTGTGCAGTGTGCCCTGCGGTGGAGCAGGCTCAGTCAGGAAGGGAGACCAGGTGTGAGCAGACGTGTCCTGCTGCTACAGGGCCTGTCGCTCTGCGGATGAGGGACGGCTGCGTGTTCGTCTCTGGGCCTGGAGGTGCCCTCTGAGCTGCAGTGTGGGAAGAGCTGCGTCAGTGCTGCCCTCTGTGTTGTGGCGTGCATGTGGCGTGTCATTATTTAGTCTGTGCCACTTGTGGGTTCTTCTGGACACCCCGGCAGGTGGAGGATGTCTCTTCCCCCTGCTCTTACGTCGAGGTGCTTGAATCTTGCGTGTGTTGGGTGCTGCGGGGATCATGTGGATTTGCCCTGCACTGCTCCTCTTCTGTGTGGTGGGTTCAGCTGTGCGTGCGCGTCCATGAGGGATGGGAAGGACTCCACTCAAGTGTGTGCCCGCTTTCTGGTTGGCTGTCTGTTTCTTGCTGTTGAGTTTTGGGAGTTCTCTGTGAGGTCTGGACACTGGCCCTCGCTGGCTTGCTGGTCTTCCTCCCGGACCTCCCCGTCAAGTCCTCGTGGAGCAGTCTTTTCTCTCCTCTGGGCCTCCTTCACCAGCTGCTTTCTTCTGTGGATCTGCTTGCAGGGCCACATCCAAGACTGCTTGCCTGGCCCCGAGTCCCAGTGGTTTTACCCATGCTTGTCCTCGTCTGCCTGTAGCGTGGTCGGCGTCATGTGTGGTCATTGCATCCGTGTTTCTCTCCTGCCTGTGAGCTGTGTGTCTGCCCTGTCAGGACACACGGGCACGGTCACAGCCTTCATATTGCATGGGGTGATTGATTCCTAATTGCTTTTTTTCAAGAGTGTTTTGCCCATTCTAGGGATTTTCCACTTAAACCTTTTTTGTTCCATTTGTGATGATGTCACCACAATAATGAATGTGTTCGCAGATGTTACATGTCACTTAAATTAGTGTTATATATTTCTAGCATTGCCTTTTGGTTATTTTTGTTTCTTAATGAATTTATTATAAAAGTTACAAGATGGCAAACAGCAAAAATCAAGTTTTGCTGCTCCCAGTTCAGGAGCTGCCCAGGGCCATCTGGAGTGCCGGTCCCCTTGCACCTCCACGCTGTCACTGGGCCCCTACCCGGAGACTATGCATGTCCGTAGCCATGGCACAGGAGCTCCTGGTGTCCACCAGGGCAGGACATGCTGGTCCTGGCCTCCCTGACCTCTGTCCCCCCTCCCACAGGCCACTCTTGCTTAGGCCCAGCTGTTGTTGTGGTGTGGGGCAGCTTTGCTTGGTCTGTGAGGTGGCTGATGTCACCTGTGTCTCCCACCCTGGATGCTTTGGGGGACCTGAGGCACCAGCTGGGTGGCAGGGCATGGCACCTCAGGAGGACAGGGTGGAGATGGTGAAGAGAAGGGCTATGAGGGAGGAAGATCACATTTGACCTCTGAGTGGCCAGGTTTTTGCCTTGTGAGCAGGTGTGGCATGGCCCAGGCGCTCAGCTGAGATGCCCCTGTCTCCTCTCTGAAGGCAGCTCGCAGATGTCAGCTGATGAATGTGGGCTGTGGCTGTGAGCTCCCCAGGGAAGACACTGGGGCCTTGGGCCTTCCCCAGCCAGGCTGTTTGGCTGTTTTTCATTTCATAACCTGGGGTGCTGATGCGGGCTCTGCCTTCTCAGGTAAGACCACTTACCAGGATGTCCTGGGTTTTATGAACTCGAATTTTTAAATTGTGGTTTTAAAAAGCACCAGGACATGAAATGGGAGTGACAAACCTCCCTTGAGGCTCAGCTCAACCAACAATGAGGACTTTTATTTAAAAAATAAAGCCATGGGTCATTTATCCTGTGCCGTGTTTGTTTTGAGTTCGTCCTCTGATGTCTGGCAGAGAACAGGCCTCACTCAGCTGTTTGTTCTTCTCTTCCCAGGCTGCCTTCCAGGAGAATGTGGGGAGACAGGTAAGGCCACTTCTCAGTCCTCGTTCCTGACACTTCCTGTCCTCTGGAGGCGTGATCTGGAAGCCTGGACACTTGGTGTCCTCTTGTGTTGTCCCATGAGGGTAAAGAGCTTGTCTGACGAGCACAGTGGTTCCACACAGGGGCACTGACACAGCGTGGGTTCTACAGGAAACTTTTCCACACGCACAGGTCAGAAATCACACAGCTTTGTGCTCAGTCAAGGATACACACAGCCTCAGTTGCCAAGGGCGCTGAGGGGTGAGCCAGGTTCCTGGGACTGGCTGGCCCTCCCTGTCCCATTTCTCTGGCGGGAGCTGGCAGGTTGGTCCCAGCTCCTGCCTGCCGGGGCCGCAGCAAAGCCCAGAAGCAGCTTCTGAAAGCTGTTGCTTCCATGACCCCGGTCATGGTCACCAGCATCCGAGGGGGTAGCCGGGCTGCCCTCCCGCTGACCCTGCAGTCTGGCTGCTGGGCTGAGCCTTGCCTGGGAAGGGGGGTCCCAGGTCACTCCCTGTGTGTGACCCTGACGCACCCAGGGTGTGGCTGGGCCTGGGCTGCCAGGCAGCAGTGAGAGCTGACCTGGAAGAGGAAGGGGGTTCGCAGAAAGGTTTGGGGGTGTGGGGCAGGCTGATGGGAGGTGTCCAGCTCCGGGGCTAGAGGTTAGTCAGGCACCCCAGTTGTGCCCACCCTGGAAATAGGAAGGGAGGGAGTAACAGAGCCAGGCTGGGCATGGGGGCATCACATGTTCCAGCGGGGGCTTGGCAGACGGCCTTGGGGAGATGCACCAGGTCGAGGCTGGCCTGGGAGGCAGGCAGGCACCGGCAGCACTGACGAGGAGGCTGCTGCCAGGACTGCCTCCCCCGGGGCACTGGGGCACCCCAGAGGGGGAAGCCCAGGAGATGTGCACCTGGCCTTTGGTGGGAAGGGGAAGATCGCAGGCTGTGCCTGAGACCCTCCCTCCTGGAGCTTCCCCGGTCAGGCCCCTGCTCACAGAGCCAACCTTGGCGGCTGGAGCTGTGGAGGACCCTGGCCCAACCAACGCTTCCGGCTTCCACAGGGAAGTGATGTTGCATTCGCGCAGTGAGTGCTGAAGGTGGCGCAGGCCGGCCGGCTGCAGTGAGGCCACGCTGCTTTGCTGTCTTACTCTTCTGTGAGCCCTCAGTGATGTTGGTTCTTGGCCCAGAGGAGCCCAAACCAGCGCTTCCCCTGTGTGAACAACTTCAGAATCTCCTGGGGCTTCCACGCAGTGGTGGGGTGGGACCAGGCTGAGAAGCGGGCTTCACGCTCCCTGCTGCGCTCCCTGTGAGAGCGGTCACTGAGGCAGGACAGGCCCTGCCTTGCTCCTCAGGCTCTCACTGAGGACCTCCCCTCCCCTCTGTAGGTGATGCACCACCCCTGCCTGCAGTCGGGGCTCAGCAACCCTCCAGAGCTGGTGGGCCATCTGCCCACGCTGAGGGGGAGGGCTCCTCTCCTCCCTGTGGTCCTCAGCCAGGGTGCCCCTTCCTGCAGGGCTGGGAGCAGGCGTTGGCGTGAGGGTGCTGAGTGTGGTAGAGAGGCCCCTTCCTCCGTGTGCTCTGGCTGTGAGCCGCACTGGGCCCATCCCCAGGAACGAGTGAAGATGTTGGTAGGAGCTGGGGTGACCTCAGCAGGGAGGGAGGACATGAGCCGGACACAGATGACTGCTGCTGCAGAGGTCCTTCCGGACCATGGGGAGTCCTGGAGGCAAGGCGTCCATCCTGGACAGCAGAGTCTACTGGAGAGGTGGATGGAACTGGAGACAGTACAGCCTGCATTGGTGAGGGATAGCACATGGTTTGTGTTGCTCTCAGAGCAGGAGCCCCTGTCTCAGGGTCCACATCTGGTCTGAGCTCTGGAAATGTGTGGCGTGCGCTCTGTGAGGACCAGCTTAGCATGTGTCGTGCCACACGAAAGAGTGCCACCCAGGCCGAGGGAAGGGGTGGGAACCGCAGGCGAGGGGGTTGTCCGTGGGGTAAGGAGGGGACCTGCTGGAAGCCACTTGGCTGAGTTGAGGGAGTCACCAGACGTCCTGCGAAGTCACAGCCTGGCAGTCTCCTTCCTGCCCTGCAGCACCTGCTGTGGGAGAAGAGCCTGCAGAGGCCGGGGCAGAGGCCGTGCACCACACAGGCCCTGCCGAGGCCCTCGGAGGAAGGGTGGGACCGTGGGGTAGTGGGGGTGCCCAGGGTCCATGTTGGGGCCATGTGAGGGGGTAGATTTGAGCCCAGTTCCCTTGGAGTTGGATGGTCAGGGGAAGGAAAGGCCTTTAACCTTCATCTAACTTTAGGCCAGCAAGCAGAGAGCAGAATATTCTGGAATGTGTCATCCCTACCTTCCTTGTCAAGGCCTCTCAGCCTGGCCTGTGCTCTGGGTGTGGGGTGGCCTTGGGGCCAGCGGCTGCACGTGGGACCTGTCGTCTTCTTGTGCTGGCTGCACTTGGAGATGTGAAGTGGGCGTGTGCATCACATAAGGAGCCCAGTGGAGAAATCACACAATGTGAAGGAATTGCTGGTCTCTTGCAGGGTCAGTCTGTGCCCTGTCCCACATGAGGCTGTGTCCTTCCAAGGCTTGATGAACATTTGAAGAGGGTGAGAACTTGCCAGAACAGCCATGACAGGGAAGCACATTGGAACAGGCCATTTTCTGTGCACAGGCTTGGAATAAGTTGGTAGGAAGAGTGTGGTGTGTACTGTTGACAACAAAGGGCCTGGCCATTCCCTGACTCCAGGGCCTGTTTCTTCCTCCCTTCCTCCCTTCCTCCCTTCCTCCCTTCCTTGATTTATTTTATTTATTTGAAAGAGTTACAGAGAGAGGGAGAGACAGAGAGGAACATCTTCCATCACTGGTTCACTCCTCAGATGGCCGTAACGGCTTGAGCTGCACTGATCCGAAGCCAGGAGCCAGGAGCTTCTTCCAGGTCTCCCATGTGAGTGTAGTGGCCCAAAGACTTGGGTCATCCTCCACTGCTATCCCAGGCCATAGCAGAGAGATGGATTGGAAGAGGAACAGCCAGGACTTGAACCGGCGCCCATATGGGATGCCGGCACTGCAGGCCAGGGCTTTAACCCGCAACGCCACAGCGCCGGCCCCATCCAGGGCCTGTTTCTGTTGAGCCAGTAGGCATATCCTTTAGGGCTCCTGGACTGTAGTCTTTGGACTGAAGCACTAAGGAAATTTTCAGGAGAAATTAGCAAGGTAGGAAATGAGGGGCTCCTTAAGATGGGATGTCCCTGTGAGACCCAGCCTAGGAAACCTCTCTCTGAGGTGCTATCGACTGCTGATCCCTGTACTCCTGCCTGGGCCCCCCGTTTAGTTCTTGTGTTGAGAGACAGATGACCAGAGGGGACTTGGACTGTGAAGTTTTTTTTTTTTTTAAGATTTATTATTTATTTATTTGAAAGGCAGAGTTAACAGAGGCAGAGAGAGAGAGAGAGAGAGAGAGAGATCTTCCATCTGCTGGTTCACTCCACAAGTGGCCACAGTGGCTGGAGCTGGACTGATCTGGAACCAGGAACTTCTGGGTCTCCCACATGGGTGCAGGGGCCCAAGGACTTGGGCCATCTTCTGCTTTCCCAGGCCATAGCAGAGAGCTGGATCAGAAGTGGAGCAGCCAAGACTTGAACTGGTGCCCATATGGGATGCTGGCACTGCAGGCGGCGGCTTTACCCGCTATGCCACAGTGCCAGCCCCATATTCAGTTTCATACACACATACACAAAACATACCCACACACAACACACCAGATATCCACACATACAATCTACAGACATACAGACCATGTGCATGGCACACATGCACACAACACACATCTATATATCCACACACACAGTATCCACAAGCACAACACACAACATATACATGTAATGCACACCACACACCCACATGCCCAGACATAGGGTAGACCCAAATGCAGAACACATTCCACATGCATGGTAAAGATGCACACAGTACACACCCATGTACCTACATATCTAATACATACAAACATACGTCACATACATAACACACACATAATGCACATGCACAGAAAACACAAACATGATACAACAGATACCCATGCATACAGTGTACACAAACACAATAATGCCACATAACACACTTGTGAGTAGCACACCCGGATACCCCCCAAAATACACACAATGCACAAAACACATACCCACACACAATACACGTAAGCACACCACAACATATCACATGTGATACAGATCATGTAGCTACATATCCGTGTGCATGATATACACTGCACATACCCCTGCACAGACACATAACACACCACCTAAAAGATAGACATGTATGTAGCACCCACCCACATACCCATGCACACAGTATGTACAAAGACAACACGTGTCATTCACGATACAGATAGGTACAACACCAGCCCACATACGCACGTGTACAGTACACATAGACACAACACAGGTGCTACACACTTGACACACAGAGAACTGCACAGTACTTCCCCCTCACAGGGTATGCACAGTGCACACAGCAGACCCCACATGTCGTACACACAGACATAGCATGCATACCACTCACACAAGCACACGCCCCAGTGATTACCTGCCATAAGGACAGGAAGCGCACACCCTCTGGTCACAGCCCTTTGGTCTGGAACATTCCCAGACAGCCCTGGTGGGAAAGGAAATGTTCTTCCAGCCTCAGGCCAGCCCCCTGCCCCTGAGGCCTCCCTGCTGGGGCTCTCCCTGTTACTCCTACACCTGAGAAGAGAACACACTTATAAAGCTCACAGCACAGAAGGTGAAATCACACCACAGGTCAAAGCAGAGCAGGGCCCTGCCCTCCCACCTGCTCAGGCCGACCCACCCTCTTCCCTCATCTCTGTGTCCACGTGGCCTGTGTGAGGTTTCCTAAAGACTCATTCATCTGCTTGGGCAGGCCTGGGCAAGCCTCTTGGTGTGGGAAGTAGGTGCCTGGTACGTGAGGAGGGGCCTGGAAGTGAGGTAGGGGTGCTCAGGGTAGGGCCGGCTCCTCCATCAGGCTCTCTGGGTTCCAGTGTGAAGACCCAGTCCTGACACCAAGACTCATCCTCTTTGCTGTGTACCAGCCCCACCAAGGAGCAGGGCAGAGACAGGGACCTCTCTTTTCCCGAGAACTGGGTAGGAAGGGCTGTCTCCATGGGAGGCGGCCTCCACCTGTCTCCCACTCCATGACTGTGCTGGCGTTGTGGTGGCCTGCCTGCACACATGCCTCTGCTGCCTCTATCCTGGTGAGGAAACAGCCCCCTTGCCCTAGAGGATGGAACACCCTGCCTGGCAGGGCAAAGCCTGACCCTCCCTGTTTGTTTATTATCCTGGGCTATGGTGTTGGGGGCTGGGCCCTGAGTACCGTCATCTGTTTTCGTGGTGGGACTTGGTCCCGGCCCCCTGGACATTGCCCTGGGTTCCCCACCTTTGTGTGGAATGTGGGCCACCTCATGGAGTGGGTGAACCCCCTTCTGTAGAATCAGCGTGGGGGCAGCTCCGTCCTGTCCCGTAGTTAGGCCGTGGAGGTGTGCGCTTCAGCTGGATCCACGTGTGACATCTCCAGCAGCTGCAGCTCCCAGCATAACCCTTGCAGGGCATTTGTGGGAACCCAAGCACTCTGTATTCATTCTGTCAGCTCATCCTATCAGGAAGGGGGTCAGGGTGTAGCTGGGTGGGTGCAGTGTGTCCCTGGGTGTTCTCAGGAGAGCTGTTTGTCCTGTGATGTTTGCTCACTACATTCTTAAACAGAGATGTGGGATTTGAATGATCAAGTGCCACGGTCTAACAGATGTTGAGGAGGAATCTGAACTCAAAGATGGGCAGGCCTGGGTGGGTGGAGTGGACAGGGAGCTGCTTCCTCTGGCCACATGCACCTCCCAGCCCCAGGCTAATCACAGACACTCCCTTCTGGCCAGTGACCAGTAGCATTATCCAGCTCTGTACTCGGGTCTGTCCAGAGGGTGGCTTTTAGTGCAAGAAAGCAAGAAGAGCTACCCCCCAGCTCTTCCTAGGCTGTTCCCTGTTCAGCTGTTTTGGACTTGGGATGGCATCACTGATGCCACTGGCTTAGACTGATGGGCTTCTTATGTGCAGCTGGAGCACTACACCATCATTTTTGACATTGTTTCCATGATAATAAATAGCCTGAATCTCGTGGAAATTTGGGCTCGAATCATAGATTTAGTTCTTTATGTGTCAGTTTGCTCAGGAGCTGGACGCATACTTGCTTGTTGTGATAAAGAGTGACAGCAGCTGAGGGAGTGACTCCTCTTGGTGCCTGCTGAGTCCCTGTTTGTGTGTGTGTGGCCATCCAGAGTAACAGGTGGGTGCTGATGGCTTCTGTTTGCATGGGTGCACCCGTGTGTGAAAGATACCATCAATTTTTTTTGGCAGTGCTAGTTGCAGTTGATTGGTGATGTTGAGTGCAGTTGATTGGTGGTGTTGGATGCAGTCGCTGGTGTTGGTGTTGAGTGCAGTTGGTTGGCAGCATTGGGTGCAGTCTCTTGGTTGTGTTGGTGTTGGGTGCAGTTGATTGGTGTTGTATGCAGTCATTTGGTGGTGTTGGTATTGGGTGCAGTCGATTGGCAGTGTTAGTGTTGGGTGCACTCTGTTGGCTGTGTTGGTGTTGGGTGCAGTTGGTTGTTGGTGTTGTATGTAGTCGGTTGGTGGTGTTGGTGTTGGGTGCAGTTGATAGGTGTTGGGTGCAGTCGATTGGCAGCGTTAGTGTTAGGTGCAGTTGATTGGCGTTGGGTGCATTTGATGTTGGGTGCAGTCTGTTGGCTGTGTTGGTGTTGGTGCAATTGGTTGGTGTTGGGTGTAGTTTGGTGATTTTGGTGTTGGGTCTAGTTGATTGGCAGTGTTGGGTGCATTGGTTGGTGGTGTTGGGTGTTTGTCATTTTCCTGAGCTTTGTTTGATAAACTCATGCCAGTTTTGCTGTAGTTGAGAGCTTCAAGTTTCTCTCATGGGGCCTGTGTGTTGGGGGTGGGAGGTCTTCTCTGAGACCTGTTAAAAATCCCCCTGTGGTTCATACTGTCAGGTTTTCTACATTTGTGGTGTTTCAGATGTTGGAATAGTTTTACAGAGTGGTGTCTACAGCACTATGCAGACTATGGCCCTGGGGCAGGAGTCTGCTGGGAGAGTGTCTGTGGACCCTCATTCCCCTTATTTCAGAGTCTGGGGTTTGCTGCTTCTGGGGTGCTGTCAGCCCCACCTTGGCACCAGCCAGGTCACTGCTCGTCCATTAGACAGTGAGGCATGGGCTCTGGGCTGTGAGACCACCAGCACCTTCCTCTCCCAGAGTGGGCACACGCTAGGGTCTTTTTGCCTGGCTAGGGGCACAGGGGGATTGAGATCTACATCATTGAACCCTGATATCTTCTCAGGATGTCTGCTTTAAAAAAAAAGTTTCTCCCAGCATTGTGGAGTTGAGTGGTTGAGGTAGTTTTGGGCCCAGCCAGGTTAGGCAGTGAAAGCATGGACTTGATTTATCTCTGACCATCACTGCTGGGCTTATGAAAGTCCAGGTATGCATTTAGATTAATTTCCCTCTTTTCTTTTTTCTAATTTCACATTTATCCAGGGCACTTTTCCTCACGGAATTGATATTCTGACCACCGCTGACTATTTTGCAGTTGGTAAAATATCTAACTGTTTCCTGGTCATAAGGTAAGTTTTTATGTGTGTCGCAGAATGTTATGTCTCCTTCCGTGTCTGATTCCACCATGCTTCCCTTACCTGCGAAGGTCCACTTGATGTCCATGTGGTTTGTGTGGAAAGTGACACGTTGACAACAGGTTTGTCTGGACCTCGTCATGCTGCTCTCTGGAGCAGCGCTGTGTCCTCGAGGGCTTGCCGTCCCCACACCGTATGCACCGGTCCTGCGTAGGGCTCAGCACGCTTGCGTTTCCTCTGCGTTTCTTCTCTTTCTTCAAGAGCCATTTCAACTGAGGTTATCTCTGCGTTGTTTGTGAGAAGCTTAAGAAAGCGGTCTTCGAGAAGTCCAGCCAGGGAGTAGTGTGGCGGACGAGTCACGTGCTCTGGGTCACGTGACAGCGCTGAAGGGAACAGAGGCTTGGCTTGTCTGTCTTAGGGCAGGAGAGAGCATTTCTCAGGGAATGCTAGGTTCATTTTTAGACACAGTTGCTACCACTGCTGCTCCCAAGGACAGATTTCCAAAGTGCCCGCGTGCTGGCCACGCAGAAATGGCATTTCCCCACGACCACACGCACAGATTTTTCAAAGCAGAGAATCTGGCCCTGTTTCCGGAAAGATCTCTGACCGAACTCGAACTTGCTGTCTGTTTCCTCTGTCTTCCCTTGGCTGTGACATCCTTTTGTGCCCTGTTGGTTCTTCCTGTTTTCCTGGCTTGTCAGCACTTCCTGTTAGACACTTCATGGGGAGTGTCCGGCACCCTTCTCCCGAGCGCCTAGGGTGCAGCTGCAGTTTACCTGCTGAGGTTCTAAGCCACCCTGAGGCACAGCTGTGAGTCGTGTGTGCGTCCTGTAGAAACACTTACAGCACTGGGCCCTGCGCCGACGTGAGGACTCGCCAACACCAGGTGTGGTTGTGCACCAGCCTCAGGCTCTCTCCCCCAGTAAGGGTCCTGGACTCTGGGTGTGAGGCAGAGAGCACTGTGTAGAGAAAGTGGGTGGGTGGGGGATTCGCAGCCCCAGGTCAGGCGGGGCTGTGAGCTGCAGTGAGGAGGGGGTGGTTGTGAGCTGTGGGGTGCAGGAGGTGAGGGATCGGGTTGACTACCATTACCGCCGTGCCTGCATCTGATGACTGGGAACAAGGAGACCACATGGTCAGAGGCCACGTGGGTGTCACCAGGGGTGTCCCAGGGGGTCTCAGAGTTGGCGGTGTCCAGGGTTTCCCACAGCAAGATGAGGGTACAAGTGGGGGAGGTACCTGGTGCCTGGAGGTTAAGGTTGGGGACTCAGCCCTGTGTCTGTTGAACACAGAAATCAACCAGGTTCCTCAGGAAAATGGGAGTGGTCTCTCTCTCTCTGTCTCTTTTCCTCTTTTCTTCTTTAAATACTTATTTATTTGAAATTCAGAGAGAGGATGGCCTAGATGGCCTCGATGGCCAGAACTAAGCCAGGAGTTAGGAGCTTCATTCAGGTCTCCCATGTAGGTGGCAGGAGCCCAAGCCCTTTGCCCTCTTATTCCACTTTTCTCAGGCCGTTAGCAATAACCTGGATCAGAAGCGGAGTAGCCAGGACTCGAAGCTGCACCCATATGGGGTGCTGGTGTTGCAGGCTTTACCTGCCATGCCATAACGCAGCCCCTGTTTTTTTTTTTTTTTTTTTTTTTTTTTTTTTTTTTTTTTTTTTTTTTAATTTTCATTCACTTATTTGAGAGGAGAGGGAGAGGGAGAAGGAGAAAGAGAGCACAAGAGGGTGTGGGTACACAAATGCTCCCATCTTTTGACTCACACCCCAAGTGGGCATTGTGGCCAGGAGCTGGGCGTGCAGTCCTGGTCTTCAGGAGGGTGACAGACCAGCAGCGTGAGCCAGCCCTGCAGTTTCCAGCAGTTCAGTGGAACGGGAGCAGAGCCGGGACCTGAATCGTCAGCTCTGATGTGGGACGACGGGCATCCCACCAGGGTCTTAGCTGACCGGCCGCGAGGTGCGCAGGCTGGAGCAGACACCGGCACTCACCTGCTTGCTTGTGTTTTCTGTGCCCGCTTTATTGAAGGGCTAAGGGATGACAGGAAATACACGTGTGTGATGTGTACGTTGTGGCAAATTTTGACATGCCTGTCTGTAGCAGCCACTAAGTGAGGACAGGGGAATACCTGTGTCTCCCATGCTTCCCTCTCCCCTCCCCAAGCCTTGCCCCAGGTGGCCCTGCTCTGCTGCTGTCACCCAGATGAGTATCTGCTCCCTCAGGTTATGTGGAATGGGGTCCGTGGTGTGCTTTTTGCTTGTGCTGGCTTCTCTCACTCAGCTTGAGAACCTTCTGTGCCCTGGTTGCTGAGTCGTGTTCTGCCGGGAGGGCCCATGGTGGCCTGTCTGCTCACCTGGGGTTGTGCGGGGCATGTGTGAAGATGGCCTGTGTGCTGGGGTGGCCACACTGGTGCGAGTGTGGAAGTAACTCATAGTTTGTGTCTTCCTGATGGCGCTGAGCACCTTGTTGTGGGCTGGTGGCAGCACTTCTGTCCGTGTGATTCTTGGAGTGGTGGTTTTCCTCTTGCAGAGAGTTCTGCGTGTGTCCTCAACTCCGCTTCTCTGCAGGCGCTCTCTCCTCTGTGGCTTGTCCTTCAGTGTAGTTTCTCACTCCAAGGCTCTTTGTGAAGTAAGAGCATTACTTTTGTGCGTCAGTTTCTTTACAGTTTACATAATGTGGTGTAGGTGTGGGGCGGGTTATGGCACATGTGAGCCCTTGAGTCATTGCTGTGGCCCGCATGAAGAACACGTCCACCCCCACGGAGCTCCCCTGCCCTGCTGCGACCTGTGCTTCACAGGGCTTCGCTCTACGCGTTCATCCTCTGTGTTTCTGAGTTCCCCAGGCGCTGGGGGCGAGTCGCCACTGAGCATCCTGCCGCTGTCCTGTGGGCTTCTCACCTCTGGGCTCCCACGCGTCAGAGGGCAGCTTTGCTCCTGTAGCTTCTGATAGAGAGAGCACAGGTGGGGCCTCTGCCGGCTGGGCTTCTGTCCTCCCCTTCTTCTCCCATCCCCTTCTTCTGAAGATTTACTTAATTATTTGAAAGGCAGAAAGACTGACTGACTGACTTTCCATCTGTTGGTTCACTCCCCAAACGGCGACAACAGCCGGGGATGAGCCAGGCTGAAGCCAGTGTCCAGGAACTTGGTCTTGGTCTCCCGTTTGGGTGGCACTGGCCCAAGCGTTTGGGCCATCTCCTGCTGCCTCGAGGGGCTTTCGCAGGGGGCTGGATTGGAAGCAGAGCAGCTGGGACTCAGCCTGGTGCTCCCGTAGGGAGTGGCGTAACCCGTTGTGCCACAACACTGGCTCCTGGCTGTTTTTCTGAATCACTGCATTCATGAGTTGTGATTGTTGGTCTTCTTGCTGTAAATCTTATTTTTAACGTTGAACATCATTTATAAAGTGGATTTTGCTTTCTAGTAGTTTGCCTTCCAGTAATTTTGCACATCTGTGACCTAAAAGTTCCTCAAATCAAGGAGGCCTTTGGGCGAGCTGTTTGCTTCTGTATTTCCCAGCTCAGTAAATGAATCCCACCTCTATTCATTTCTTGATTTCTCTTTCTCGTTTTCCCACACCTGGTTAGTGACCTAGTTCTGCCAGATCCACATCCCTAATGGGCCTCAAACAGCCTTCTTCCTGTTCACCCTCTCTGCCATCCCTGACTTCCAGCTCTTATTAACCTGGAAACTTGTCAAAGCCTCCCAGCTGACTCCTCTGCCCCCAGGGCCTGACCTCACCCATCTGTGCTTTGCCCTGCTGCCCCAGGAACTGACTGAGTTCCTCCATATTACAGCACTTTCCTGCCCACGCCCTTCCCTGTGCCTTCCTCCTGTTCCTCCTCCTGTACCTGCCAGGCCCCCATCTCCTCCTGCTGCACCTGCCATGTCCTCTTCCCTTCCTGCTTCATGTGCCATGCACTCCATTCCTCTTCCTCCTCCCACCTGCCATGTCCCCTCCTGCTGCTGCACCTGCTGTGCACTCTGTCCTCCCACCTGCCATGACCCCTCCTGCTGCTGCACCTGCTGTGCACTCTGTCCCCTCCCACCTGCCATGACCCCTCCTGCTGCTGCACCTGCTGTGCACTCTGTCCCCTCCCACCTGCCATGACCCCCTTCCTCCCCTCTTCCTGTACCTGCTGTGCACTCTGTCCCCTCCCACCTGCCATGACCCCTCCTGCTGCTGCACCTGCTGTGCACTCTGTCCCCTCCCACCTGCCATGTCCCCTCCTGCTGCTGCTGCACCTGCTGTGCACTCTGTCCCCTCCCACCTGCCATGACCCCTCCTCCTCCTGCTGCACCTGCTGTGCACTCTGCCCTCCTACCTGCCATGACCCCCTTCCTCCCCTCTTCCTGTACCTGCTGTGCACTCTGTCCCCTCCCACCTGCCATGTCCCCTCCTCCTGCTGCTGCACCTGCTGTGCACTCTGTCCTCCCACCTGCCATGTCCCCTCCTGCTGCTGCACCTGCTGTGCACTCTGTCCCCTCCCACCTGCCATGACCCCCTTCCTCCCCTCTTCCTGCACCTGCTGTGCACTCTGTCCCCTCCCACCTGCCATGACCCCCTTCCTCCCCTCTTCCTGCACCTGCATGAACTGCTGACCCATCTTCCTCCTGCGCCTGCTATGCCACATTCCTTCCTTTCCCTCTCATATCTGCTGTGCCCGCCCCTTTCACCTTGTCCTTGCCTCTTCCTCCTGCACCTGCCATGCCCTCGTGTCCTCTCCTCCTTCCTCTCCTGCCCCCTGGTGGACAGTTCTTTGGTTTGCACTGACAGCCCACGTGGACCTCGTAGATGCTGGGATGGCTTGGGCTAAACATTCAGGAGTCTTTTACAAGACCGCCGCTTGTTGGGCCCCACTTCAGACTGGAGCTCAGGAGGCTTAGTCTCCATCCGCCTCTCTCCTTGGTCATCTGCTTGCTCCTCTGGACTCCTGTGCTTCATCACCACCTGTTGTGGGCTCCTTGTGTCACCCTGGCTGGGAATTTGCCTGTCAAGAGTGCGGGTCGCGTGCTCGCAGCACCTTGGTGCGGGGGTCCTTGGTGACGGGGAGGGGTTGGCTTCTCGAGCCTCCCGTTTTTCTCAGGCGGTGTGACCTGCGGGGGGCTTCCCACTCACACACTCCTGAGGAAGCCTCCACTTTTCTTTCTGTCACTTCAGAGCACAAGTCTTTCCTGGCCTGCTCTCTTGGGCTATGTGTCTTGCAACACACGTGTTTGTGCGTGCGGCATTCACACTCACCGCTGGGTCCAGCTCTGCAGCGCCGTTTTCTCTGGCATGTCTCTGTCCCTACCTGGCCATCTGCCTGGTCTCTTGGGCTCTGTGGTGGGGGCCGTGGTGAGGTTGGTGTGAGGCTGTGTGGATGAGGTCGTGGGTTCACATGATGTGTGTGGTTTCAAGTTGTAGCCGCGTGAACTGTAGAAGGTATGTTGTTTGAATAGGCAGTGCACACACATGGTGTAATATTCAGAAAGCGCAGGCGTGTCAGGTGGGGTCACACCTGTCTGTCCCTGTCCTGCTCTCTGATCCCGTTCCTGGTGTTGCCTGTCACCAGGTTCGCGTATGCTCTGGAGCGGGGGTGAGGAATGTCTGACCCACGGGCTGTATCAGGCCCACAGAATCATTTGGTCTGACCCTGCTAAGGCATCCACAGGCAGGACTTGGAATTCAGTAAGTCTGTAGCAGGCCCGTGAATGATGTGAATACCTGGATGGCCCCTGGCAGACAGAAGGTCCCCGGCCTTGTCTGGAGAGTTCTGTTCCTGCAATGCACACGAATAAGCTGAGAAAATGCAGACAGCGCCAGGTGCCCTGGTTGTGCAGGGAGGCGAGCCCTGTGTGGATACTGGACTCTGTCCAGGCTCTTGTGTTGAGAGCAATGTGGAGTGCATGTCCAGTTTCTCACGAGTGTGACTATCTGTGACTAGATGGCCAGAAGTGGACCTGTTGGACCCAAGGGTATTTGGGTTTTGTGTTCCTGGGCCACGTGACCTTGTAGGCCCTCAACCATGGTTGAGGCCCCAGATGCTGAGTGACCAGTGAACACAGAGTGAAGGCGATTGAGTGTTGCTTCAGGTGGTTGAGCTCTGTGCTTTTCCCGTAACTGTTTGTGGGCAGTGGTTCTGCGAGGCCCTCGTGTCCTCTCCTGTGATGCCAGTGCTGGCTTTCCCCTTGTTGTCTCCTGACGCTGGTGTTGGTGTTCCTCTGGCAGACTGTGGGGGTTCTGTGTGTGGATGTGTTGATGTCTTCTCTTATGTCATCATCAGGAAGGTCTTTCCCACGTGGGGATCAATTTTTCCAATTCTCTTGTGATATTTCAAGAGACAGGCAGAACTTAAACCCCACCAGCTGCCCCTGCATGAAGGGTGCAGCTCTGTGAGCACTGACAGCTCACACCTGGCCCTCTTTCACTTTCCGGGGTGCGGGGGCTCCCAGCCTCAGCCCTGGAGCTCTGCCCATCGCTGTGGATTCAGGGGGCGTCAGGAAGAGCACACGCTGCCGGTGGCATCCATCGTGGCTGAGCTGTGTGCTGCTCTGTAGCTGTTGGAAAGCATACAGATGGTTTTCAAATAAAATGTTCATCTGAGAGGCAGGGAGGGGTGGACGGGAGACACGAAAGACACAGAGATCTTCCGCTGGCTGATTTGCTCCCCAAGGGACGAGCCAGGTTGAAGCCGGGAGCTGGAAACTCCATCCAGGTCCACGTGGGTGGCAGAGACCCAGGTCATTGACCCATCACCATTGCCTCCCAGGGAGCACATCAGCAGGAAGCCGGAACTGGGAGTGGAGCTGGGTATTAGGACAAGCACTCTGCCGTGGGAGGCAGATGTCCCAGCTGCTAGGAGGAATGCCTGCTCCTGTTCTGAATTTTTGACTCAGTTGAATCAAGCTGTTGAACATTTATTTGGAAGTGTTTATGCGGATATGTTAAGACCTAGGTAATTTTTGTGTATTGAACTTCGTAAGAGACTGTGAAATTGCTTTGCCCAGTAGCTATGTGGCTTCTCCTCCCCCGAGAAATGCGTGCAAGTTCTGCTGCTCCACGTTGTTGCCAGCACTTGGTACTTGTCACTTGGTACTTGCCCGTTCTAGGGGTGTAGTTTGCATTCTCTGCTGACTACTGATGTCAGTCACCTTTTTGTGTGCTTATTGGCAGTGTTGTTTTGTGATGATCTGCTACCGATTGTTATTTAGATTTATCATCTTTATTTGGATAGAAGTCTGGTCATTTTTGGGAATCCCTGTCCCAGTGCTTATAATGGAAGAAGGCTTATTTTGGTGCATGGATTCGGAGATCTGGGTGAGTGTGCGAGGTGGTGGGTGTGCAGAGGATGGATCTCCTGGTGAATGCAGCCCGCTCCAGAGCTGCCTTCCCAGGCACACCTTGATGACTAAGCACCTCCCCCCAGCTGCTTCCTAAAATACCATGATTGGGTCAGGTCTGCCACCCTTACTCTGTTACCATGAACATAGCAGACTGTGGGGACCAAGCCTTCAGCTCATGGGCCTCTTGGGGGCACCCAGACTAATATACAGTCCACAGCAGCCACCTCCCCCAAGTCTCTCTTCATTTTCTCAAAGTTCTTAACAACTTTGTTGAAGTGTGATTGACATATGTTAACTACACATCAAATGTACAGTTGACTTCAGTATGCGCTCAAGAATCTCTATCACTGTGGTTGCCAAGGTGGGGACATGAGATTCCTTCCTGTGTCACCACAGGTGCCGTGTCTGGTGTGTGCCGTGGTGGGGGCGTGGTCTTCATCCCGGTGTCACTGTGTGTGCTGTGGTTGGGGTGTGGTCTTCATCCGGGTGTCACTGTGTGAGCTGTGGTGGGGGTGTGGCCTTCATCCCAGTGTCACTGTGTGAGCTGTGGTTGGGGTGTGGCCTTCATCCTGGTGTCACTGTGTGTGCTGTGGTAGGGGCATGGCCTTCATCCTGGTGTCACTGTGTGTGCTGTGGTTGGGGTGTGGCCTTCATCCGGGTGTCACTGTGTGTGCTGTGGTAGGGGCATGGCCTTCATCCTGGTGTCACTGTGTGAGCTGTGGTTGGGGTGTGGTCTTCATCCCGGTGTCACTGTGTGTGCTGTGGTTGGGGTGTGGTCTTCATCCGGGTGTCACTGTGTGTGCTGTGGTAGGGGCATGGCCTTCATCCTGGTGTCACTGTGTGAGCTGTGGTGGGGGCGTGGTCTTCATCCCGGTGTCACTGTGTGAGCTGTGGTGGGGGTGTGGCCTTCATCCCAGTGTCACTGTGTGTACTGTGGTGGGGGTGTGGCCTTCATCCGGGTGTCACTGTGTGTACTGTGGTAGGGGCATGGCCTTCATCCTGGTGTCACTGTGGTTTCCAAGGTGTGGACATGAAATTTGTTCCTGTGTCACCATAGGTGCCATGTCTGGTGTGTGTTGTGGTGGGGCGTGGTCTTCAACGCAGTGTCACTGTGTGTGCCATGGTGGGGGCATGGTCTTCAACCCAGTGTCGTTGTGTGTGCAGTGGTGGGGGCGTGGTCTTCATCCCGGTTCACTGTGTGTGCTGTGGGGGGGGCGTGGCCTCACCTCGGTGTCACTGTGTGAGCTGTGGTGGGGGCGTGGTCTTCATCCCGGTTCACTGTGTGTGCTGTGGTGGGGGCGTGGCCTCATCCCGGTGTCACTGTGTGAGCTGTGGTGGGGGCATGGCCTCACCCCGGTGTCACTGCGTGTGCCGTGGTAGGGGCATGGCCTCATCCTGGTGTCACTGTGCTGTGGTGGGGGCGTGGTTGTCGTCCTAGTGTCACTGTGGGTGTCTAAGTGGAGGTGTGGCATCGTTCCTATGTCACTGTGTGTACTGTGGTAGGGGTGTGGCCTTTACCCCACACATTTCTTGCTGCCCACTTCTTTGTAGTCCCTACCTCTGGCCCTCCCTTATCTGAAGGCAACCGCTGACCTGCTTCCATTAGAATAGATTTGTTTGCATTTTCTCAAGTTTTGTATTAATGGAGAAGCTAGCGAGTGCCAGTTTTGTCTGCCTTCTTTCTGACCACGTGTTGAGTTTCTGATGAGCATGCGTCCTGTGGCTGAGTCGCAGCCTGTTCCCCGGCTGTGCCTGGTGTGCTGGGGGTACAGTTGTGTGTGCAGCTCTGGGAAAATGGGAAGCCACGAGGGGGCGTGGCTGAGTCCTGTGGTGGGTATTTTTCTCTCGGCAAGAGATGGTGTCTGTTTTTAAAATGCTGTGTTTCGCATTCTTGCTTTTGCTGCATTCTCACTGACTGCGAACTTTGTCTTCCAGCGTGTTGATTGCTGGCTTTGCTGAGTACACCGAGCCCATGATAGAGCACCTGGTCGCCATGAAGGTCAACCACTGGGACGGGTAGGTTCCCCCGCGCACGTGCTGCGTGGAGCTGGTGAGCACCGAGTGGTAATCTCAGAGCAATAAACAGGCAGGCTGCATGCCTGGTGTGCCAGGTAATGGTCTGTTTCCGGTTCCCTTCTAGAGTCCCTTGTCGGGCAGCCCTGATGTGTGACTGTTCCCGTGTGAGCGCCCTGGGCTGGTGTGTAGTCGAGGGCAGGAACTTGCCTGCGGCCAGGAGGAGCCTAGGCCGGGGACACGCCTCGTCTCCCTCAGCGAAGCAGTGCCTCCCACCCTGATCTCTGCTTGGCTGCTCTGGCTGTCTTCTGTGTTGCCTCCTGGGAGTGGAGCAGGCGTTAGTGGCTGTTTTCTTAATTATAGCAGCAGTTTCAGGGTATCTTGGCATTTCGTAGGCAGTTAAATGTGTCTTCAAAGAGAAAAGCTAAGTGTGCAACCCAGAACATAAACAGAGCATTAGTGCTGTTATTACCTCCTCTAGGAGGCCAGATTATCTTTGCCTAGGAAGGCTGTGTCACTGCCTGTCACACACGGATCTAAAGATGGTAAATGCCTGTGGACGTCAGTCACTTTGTGAGGGTGTACGTCCAGAGTTCCAGTTTTAGGGTGCGTCTTTTGCAGAAAGTTCTTTCGAGGACAAAGGCCTTGAAAGTTTGGTTACTTGTGGCTGTGTGCTGTGGTGCCCACGGGGTCCAGGAGATGTGCCCTTTGTTTCCTGTTGGTCACCCTTAGCTTCCAGGTGATGGTCTCTGTTTTTGATGTTTGAGACATACCTGCATATGTGGCACCAAAACCTCTTGTGAGTAGGAGCCCGGGTCCTCTGGACAGAGCTTGTCTCACCAGCTTATCACTCAATCAGATATTGAAAATAAAGTTGTAAAGGTAGAGATGGAGAGACACATCCGTCACATACCTGCACCAGCCAGGGCTGGATGCCAGGAGCCAGGAATGCCAGCCAGGTCTCCCATGTGGGTGGCAGGACAAGCACTTGGGCCATCACCTGCTGCTTCCCATGCCTGTTAGCAGGGAGCTGTTTCTGAGCACAAGGTCGCCAAGACTTGGCCTCAGGTACTCTGATGTGGGGTGTGGGCATCGCACAGGGCAGCTCAGCCCCCTGGCCACAGGGTCCTTTCCTGAATGAGCTGTCCAAGTCCCCAGCTGTTACCGTTATGTCCACCACTTCTTCAGTTCTGGCAGTTCTTCCTTCACGTTTTGGGTGGGAGACTCCTGGTAGATTGTATCTATCTGTTGTTTTATCTTCTTGGTGTGCCGGCCCTGGTCCTTGTCTCTCACCACTTTTGTCCTAATAATTTGGTATCCCCAGTATATGCATGCTGGTAGGCTTTTTCCTTAAAGGGCCAGAGAGTAAATATCTTAGGTCTCTGTCCCAAATACTTTATCATTTATTTTCCCTGTACAGCCCTTTAAAAAATAGAACCATTTTTAGCTTAGGACCTTAGACAAAGAGGCCTCAGACTGGGTTTGGCCTACTGCCAATCAGTAGCTGCTATCCTAGTGACTTGATCTCTTTTGCTTCTAGTCTGGGCGCCTTTTGATATACTGCTTGTTTTTATACCCAGTTTGCCAACCTCTGCCTTTTTCTGTGAGCTGTTCAGTCCATTCAGATTTGATTTTTAAATATCAGCATAGTTCAATTTATGCCTGCCATTTTACTGCTTGTTTTTCATTTTTTTCCCCATTGCCTTTTTTGTTTAAAAAATTTTTTAGAGGGGCTGTCACTGTGCCGTAGCAAGTAAAGCTGCCTCCTGCAGTGCCGGCATCCCATATGGGTGCCAGTTTGAGTCCCGGCTATTTCACTTTGTATCCAGCTCTTTGCTATGGCTTGGGAAAGCAGTAGAAGATGGCGCAAGTTCTTGGGCTGCTGCACCCACGATGGAGACCCGGAGAAGCTCCTGGCTCCTGGCTTCAGATTGGCCTAGCTCCATCTGTTGTGGCCACTTGGAGAATGAACTAGCAGATGGAAGACCTCTCTTTCTCTCTTTGCCTCTGCTTCTCTGTAACTCTGCTTTTCTTTTTTAAAAAGATTTATTTATTTATTTATTTATTTGAAAGTCAGAGTTATACAGAGAGAGGGAAAGGTCTTCCATCCACTGGTTCATTCCCCAGTTGGCTGCAACGGCAGAGCTGTGCCAATCTGAAGCCAGGAGCCAGGAGCCTCTTCCAGGTCTCCAAGGACTTGGGCCATCCTCTACTGCTTTCCCAGGCCATAGCAAAGAGCTGGATCAGAAGTAGAGCAGCCGGGTCTCGAACTGGCACCCATAGGGGATGCTGGCACTGTAGGCAGAAGCTTTACCTGCTACGCCACAGCGCCAGTCCCACTCTGCCTTTCAAATAAATAAATAAATACATAAATAAATCTTTAATAAAAATTTTTAAAGAAATCTTTCTAGCAGAGACTTAGAGAAGAAATGCAGAGCTGAGGGACCTGAAAGCATCGTCTGGTCTTCCTTTCTGCAGGTTCTCACGCTCACACCAGCTCTTTTCCTAGAGCTTTAGGGTTCACAGAGGATGACTGTGACCTTGCAGAATTACAGTTTTCGAAAAATGGAGATGTCTCTGCCCTTGGCCTGGGATTCCTGCTGAGAGGCTATGAATAGGGCCCCTCTGACTTTCAGGCAAGAAGCAAGGCTCGCACCCATGGGAGCTCAGAGGATTCCTGCAGAAGCTCCCGCAGTGTGTGGGATCCCCGTAGCATGCACCATTAGGAATCTCAAGCAGTGCTGTCCCTTGAGCAGGTTGGTTCTGAGGGCTGGGCTATCCCGTTGTCCTGTGTTTCTTTTTAAAAGTTTCCTGATACATAGCCAATTGATACCTCAGGATGAATGTAATTTTAAATCTTTTAACTGGTAGATTATGGAATGTTTACCATCTTAACCAGTTTTAACTGTTAGGTTTAGGGGTGTCAGCTGCATTCAGATGGCTGTGCAGCTGTGACCACTGTCCCTGTCAGCTTGCAGGACCCAGCGTGCCATCAACACTAACTCCTCGCCCGCCCCTGCCACTGGCAGCCCTCATTGTCCTTTGTGTCTCTTTGAGTTTGACTCCCCAAGGAGCCTCATGAAAGGGGAACCCTTTCTGTCTTTCTGTGACTGACGGACGTCATTCAGCGTGATGCCCTCGAGGTTCCTCCTTTCTGAGGCTGAGCAGCGTTGGGTGTCTTTCTGTCCCTCTGTTGGCTGCTGCCGTGGGCTTGGGGCGCTCTGAGCTCCCAGCTCTTTGGAGTTTGTGCCCATGGTGGATCTGCTGGGTCGCAGCGTGATTCTGTTCCTGATTTTTGAGGCGCCACCATACTGATTCCGTGGGGGCTGCGCATTCTGCATTCCTAACAGCAGGGGGCAGGGCTCCGGTTCGCCCGTGTCCTCACCAGCACTTGTTTCCTGGGTGAGAGTTGGCATCTCACTGTGTTTTTGGTTCGCATTGCCCTGATGATTGGTGTCATTGCCCGTCTCTCATGTGCTTGTTGTCTGCCTTAGCATACTTGGAGAAAAATATTTTTTTTTATAATTTTATTTTATTTTATTTTTTTGACAGGCAGAGTGGACAGTGAGAGAGAGAGACAGAGAGAAAGGTCTTCCTTTGCCGTTGGTTCACCCTCCAATGGCCGCCGCGGCCGGCGCGCTGCGGCCCGCGCACCGCGCTGATCCGATGGCAGGAGCCAGGAGCCAGGAGCCAGGTGCTTTTCCTGGTCTCCCATGGGGTGCAGGGCCCAAGCACCTGGGCCATCCTCCACTGCACTCCCTGGCCACAGCAGAGAGCTGGCCTGGAAGAGGGGCAACCGGGACAGAATCCGGCACCCTGACCGGGACTAGAACCCAGTGTGCCGGCGCCACAAGGCAGAGGATTAGCCTAGTGAGCCGCGGCGCTGGCCTGAGAAAAATCTTTTGAAGTCTTTTGCCCCATTTTTTAATCGATTTGTTGTGCATTCTGGATAGCAGTCAGACAGAGGATGTGCAGGTGTTTCCTCTTACTCAGTAGGCTCCTTCTCTCTGCTGTGTGCTCTGGTGCAGAGAAGTTTTAATTTTAATGTCGTCCAGTCTTCTGGTGTTTATTCTTTTGTTGTCACATTCAAGAAATCATTGCTAAATCTAATGTTGTAAAGCTTTTGCCCTGTATTTTCTTCAGGGTTTTATCATTTTAGATCTTAGGTTAGATATAAAAGTTAAACTGTTTTTTCTCTGGAAACCTTTTATTTAAGGAATGCAAACTTCATACTTCTCATAAATGCAACTTTAGGAATATAGTGATTCTTCCCACCATACCTGCCCTTCCACCCACACACTCACCCCTCTTTCTCCTCCCTCTCCTATTCCCATTCTTATTTTTTACTGAGATCTATTTTCAGTTAACTTTATACACATACAGTTAACTCTACAAATAGTAGGGGGAAAAGTGTTCTTCAACATTCCAGATGAGGGCTGTTCCAAGTCACTGCTTCTCAGAGTGTCAGTTTCACTTCTAGAGATTACCTTTTAGGTGCTCTGTTAGTTATCACAGATCAGGGAGAACATGTGGTATTTGTCCTTTTGGGACTGGCTTATTTCACTAATCATGATGCTATCTAGTTTCATCCATTTTGTTGCAAATGACAGGTTCCATTTTTTTTAACTACTGTGTAGTATTCCATGGTGTATATATCTCATAATTTCTTTATCCAGTTTTCAGTTTCAGGCATTGGGGTTGATTCCATGTCTTAGCTATTGTGAATTGAGCTGCAATAAACATGTAGGTACAGATAACTCTTTCATATGCTGATTTCATTTCCCTTGGGTAAATTCCCAGGAGTGGGATGGCTGGGTCATGTGGTAGGTCTATATTCAGATTTCTGAGGTATCTCCATAGTCTTCCACAGTGGCTTACCAGTTTACATTCCCAGTAACAGTGGATTAGGGCACCTTTTCCCCCACATCCTCACCGGCATTTGTTGTTTGTTGACTTCTGTATGTGAGCTCTTCTGATGAGGTGCGGTGATATTTCACTAGGTT